TTTGCAATTTTTCGAGTTGATAGGCCTTCTAAATTTTTTTCAATAATTTGCCAGCGAATGTGGTTTGAAAATACCATGTTTTTTGAATTCAACAAGAGATGTGCGTAATTTTATATTTATATTAGCTACCTGATTTTAAATTACGTATATATTATAGTATTATATCAATTTTTATTATACCGAAAAATTACCGCCTGAAAAATTTTTTAGCAAGTTTTTTTATAGGTGTCCCAGGAATAATGAAAATAGCTGTAACCGGATATCTGTTGTATCCGCGGGTTGCCCGGATAGCCTTTACCTAGGTCCAACCCATAATAAATAGGATAATAATTATAATGAAATGCCTCATATTGTGCAATAATATATAATACGTACTAGAGTTGCAGGTGAAACTGGTGAAACTGGTGCGCTGATAGTGAAACTAGAATTATAGATGAAACTAACCTTCAACAGTGTATCGATAGTGCACTGTCCCTATAAAAACAAAATGTTTAACTTTTGTTTAATATATATATATATTTAAAAAACTATTGTGTGAAAAAGTGTCATTTTGTTTATTTTTTGTGTAAAAAACTTTTTTGCAATAAAAATTCATAATCAAATTAGACAAAATACACTTTTTCAAACAATTATTACTCAAAATATATATAATTATTACACAAATATAAAATAAAAACTAAATTTAATTTTTTTATAGGGTGTTGGTGCACCAGCAACTCTAATATATACACAATGATAATGCAGTTTGAATAAAACAATAACAAGTTATAATCTGACATATATATGGGATGTCTAAAGTAAGGGAAATTTATATTATTTAATAATTTGCTCGATTAACTTTAGAGTTAGGTTAGGGTTGGATTGGGTTAAGTGCATTTATATAAGCAAAATAGCCTTCCCAACATTTTTATTAATATACCAAGGTGGGTTTTTCAATTTTTTGTTTTGCTTTGTCAGGCTGATCTGAATCAACAAATATTCTATAATTTAATTGGTGGTTGATCACTCTGCTTTAGATGACCTTCACTTTTTAAACAGATGTAGTATGATCAATACTAGATATGAATATTATGTATGTATTCAAATTTGTTAAAAAATTGTAGTTATTATTACAACATTTCAGTAAGCATTTTTCAAATCTGCAACTTTTAATTCTTTGCATCAAATATTATAACAAGTTTCATATCTATTAGTGAATTAATAATCAATATATGAAAATCTAAGAATACAGAAATAACCAGAGTTACATATTATTCACAGTTTTTTGCATAATGATACTATTATAACTTAGCAGTAATTTTTAAAAATTTTTGCATACTATGCATAGGGATGTAATATTATGTAATTTTATGTTAAGAGACCTAAAAATCAGTGAGTTTGTTACTAGGTTAATTGATAGTTGGTTCATGTAACCAAAAAATTAAGTTATATGGGTCAAAAAAAGTATGTTAGATTTGGTAAATGGTTAATTAATAATATTATCTTTAAAACTATTCAAACTTTAAATCAATTTACTTACTTAATTACAAATTTATTTAATATATAAAAAATTATTATACTAAAATAATCTACCTCCTATATATTTTATAGAACTTCTATAAAACTTTATACTTATCCAAGACTCATCTAGATTTGTATAAAGTTTTCAAATCTAATTGAGTCTTGGCCTATTTTAGTAGGTTTAGATTACAAATAAATAATTAGTCTGAGCTTTTATTCTTGTATATAATTTATATTTATTTGTTATTATATATAAGGATAGGAATTATATAGTTATTAGTTGACTAATTGATTATTAGTCAACTAATTGACTAAATTTTTTCATAATCAGTTGATCAATTAGTTAATTAGTTAATTAACTGGCTAATCAACTAGTTAACTAATTAACTAATTGACTAGTCAGCTAGTTAATTAATCAACTAGTTAACTGCTGAATAACTACTATCTATCCAGATAGTTTATTACTTTATAGGTCTTGCTTGATAGTTGAGACATATACCTACTTTAATGACATACTTAACACTAACAATATATACATATTTACTTTAACTATTTATTTATTCTCTAGTCAAAAGACTGTTTTATTTTATATTTATATTTTTACTATTTATACAATTTAACAATTACATATCTTGTATTATATTTTAACTATTTCTTTGTTATTAATTTAATAAACTTTCAATTACTCTTAATTAATTATCATATTCATGTATCAGAAATCACAGTACCTTTGTACTTGATCTTTTCTATCAACTTCTCATCTCAATTTACACCTACAACTCATATAATTATATAAGTTATTTAATTTATACTTTTATTCATCCCTCTTTCTTCTCAACTCATTAAATGCTTTGTTATCAATTTGTATACCTTTTACTAGATATAAAGGGTCTTCAATAACTATTCAACATAAGCTGGACTTTTGCTGGTTTTTATCCTTGAAAACCATATTGTTTTTATCCAATTCATCCTCACCAGTTTGATTCAAGACATATTTATACTAGGTATACAATTTCTTTACTCTATTTCTTTGTCACCAAATTCTTTAGTTTACAACTATTAATTTCATTTACATATACTTGACTGTATTTTCCAATTCTACAAACCCAATAAGGTCTTATCCAATGATAATCTAACTTTCTAAATATAGTCACCAATATGAGATCATGAATTTGAACCAAGTTCCCTATATTGTAAATTTCTTTTATGTTCTTTTCTATTATGCATTTCTTTTTACCACTGCTTTAACTCATCCTTTTTAACCTGTACAATTTTTAAGTTCTCTACCATTCTCTTGACTAATACTCTAATAACTTGTTTGTAGTTCATTCTTTTCTTGCAATATAAACTTGGCAGCTTTCTATCATCTTTTAGATTGTAGTCACAGTATTATGCCTGTTGTAAGGGGTAAAATTAATCTTACTAGTCTATTTTTAGCTTGTTGATCTTAATAATCCAAAATTATCAATGCAGATAGTACAAATTATTGAGAATTCTGTTATCTAATAGATTATAGAAATTTTACTAGATAATAAAATTAAGTTTTTATTCTTGTTATTTATTAGATAGTATAAATAGTTTAGAATTCAAAGAATTCAGTTATATGTAAAGATAATTATACAAGGAGCATTTTTTCTTTCAATAAAAAATAAATCTTTTTTGAGTTCTAAAACTCTAAATACTTTAAAATAATTATAGTAGAAGTATTCCAGTAGTTGCATACTTATCTTTTTTCTTTGTTTTTCATAAAAATGCTCAGTTAGAAATATACTTTGATGCAGTTGTAATTGATAAACTGTTGCAAGTCTTGACCTTTGAAATCTGAGTAGAAGTGTCAACTCTAAGTACCTTGTTTAACATAACCTTGTCTCTAAGTTTTTGACCCTTAAAAATAGATAAGAAATAAAGAATTAATTAATAATTAAAACCCTTAATTTATAATCCATTTGTTATCTGGAGGGATCTGCAAAATTTTATAAGTAAAGTTTACTATTGACAGAAATGTGGTGAGCCTATATCTAAAACTTTTTTTTACTAAAACAATCAATCTTGTTGATTAATTAAAAGTTGTAAATCTCAAGACACATCTAATAATAGTAAGAGTGTCAAAATCAGCCCAGTGGTTCTTGAGATATCTTTAAAAAATGTCTTGTGCACATATAAAATTCCTTTAATAAAAATCTAAAGAAAATTATTATTTGTTATTCTAGTGACATAATTAAAATCGAGTTAGTTTACATTGTTAGCTACTGTACAAAACTCTAGTACAAAACCTACTTGCTACTCTGGTAACAGAAAGTATGTGGTTAAGGTTGAATTACATTGTAAAATTAATGCAAAAAACACAGAACTCACTTGCTATTCTGTAACAAACTATGTAAATGAAGTTGAATTGGTTTTAGTTAAATTATCGTGATTTCTATCAAGTTTACTGTAAAATTCTGTTACAGAATACTCACTATTCTCATAACACATAATGTTGGTTAGATTGAGGTAGTTTGCATTGTAAGTTACTGAAAAAAAATTTATTATAAAGCTTACTCGCTATCTTGGTAACACAGTATGAGTGCGCCAAAAGAAAACCCGACAATTTAAATATAGATTATATTTAAATTGTCGGGTTTTCTTTTGGCGACACTCATAATTAAAGTTGAGTTAGTTTGCATTAAAATTATCATGAATTCTATTATTAGTTACTTAAAACCTTCTGTTACAGAACTTACTTTGCTATTTCAGATAGTAAAATGAAAAGTATTCTTGCAACTGATTGGATATCAGACATATCAGGCATATCACGTGTTTATAATAACCTTAATTCTTATTCGTAATCTTATAATCTCTTCCAGTGAAAACTTCACTGGAACCACTGGAACACTGGAAATATCTGGACGTCCAGTGAGATTCCAGCTTCCAGTCAACAACACTGACGTACTACATATCTCAGAGTAACACGAATACCGAATCCGATATGCTCATTAACACGTCGCCAATTAAATGTAAGATTTTGCGAACTCGCCATTCTTGATGGCAGTAAACCATATACTCCATTCCTGGTAACTCCGCTAATGAATTTCATAAATAACTTGTGCATTTAATATTACTAAACAATTAAAGTTCGAAAATCGGAATTTGATTCATAGTAAGTTTTTCTAAAAAGAACAAGTGATTTCCATAAACAACTTGTGTAATTACATGTCAATGAAAATGTAATACAAAAATATAACTTAAAATGTCGAATAAAACAAACACGAATTAACTAATATATATAATATATATATTGTAATAATTTATCACAAAAAACATTTTCCAATAACCCAAAGTTCTAAGTGAAAAAAAATGGGATTCTTCGATGATGAAGCGCGAGAAATTTATGATGGAAAAGATATTCATGAACTTAATGATATTTTTGTAAAAAATGAAGATATCGCTGAGAAATTAAGTAATTCTCTTAAAAAAAATTGAAAATGAATTAACGAGTTTTCGTGTAATAGTTAATTAAAAGAATTTTACCTTTAGGGAAACTCGTGCCTAAAGCTCATCGTAAGCTTATTAATGAGAATAAAGATCATACTGGAGACGAAGAAGGTTCACATACTATAACTTTGATTTTAGTGTATTATTATTACTACTAATATTTAAATGATATATAAAACTCTATCTATTTTCAATGATTATTTCTTGTAGAAGTGGCGACTAATAGAGCTGGAAACATTAAATTTAAATCTGAAATAGTAGACATTAAATCGTTCCAACACCTTAATGATGTAATGAAAAATTCTGTTCAAGAAAATAAAAATGTTAAAGCTGTTGGATCTTTTGCAGCTTTTAGGTGCAACATATTTATATGTTTTTTTACATGATTTAATTGCATATAAAGATCATAAATCATATTTACACAGCAGCTTGCTTTATAAATAGTAAAGTAACAGAAACAAACGGATACCTTCTAAAGCCAGAGAAAAAACCTCATGTAGCAAAAACGGATTTGAATTTATTAAACGAAGAAGCTATATCTCAAGCTCAAAAAGATGATATCGTATATTATGATGTGAGGTGGGGAACTGTGATTTACGAAATTCTTCCCGCCTTGAAAAAAGATAATAGAGCTTTTTTTAACGTTGGTGGATGGACGGGTAAATGCAGTGATAAAAAAATTTTTAATTAGCCATTTTTGTAAGCTGTTTTTATTAACATAAAAAACAAATCTTTTTTTCTTTTTTGTTTAAAGGACAGGACGTCATTGGGTAATTATTGATCAAATTAATTCCTCGCTTATTACTAATTTATATATCATAATTAATTTTATGTTCTCCTTATTTTATAGTATAAATGCAACATCTACTCACGGCAGTGGCATCAAACTACCACCCTTGTGCTCACTTATAGTTTCTGTGCTAATGGTTGTTCCAGGTAATAAAAACGGGATAATATTCGAATTATTATTACACGACAGGTGAAACCCGCCATATAATTAGTAAAATCCGCATCGATCAGCTAAATTAGGTAAACCCTGAGATGTAACGCGAATTTCACCTGTCAATATAAAAACTACACCAAACTTTGAACGAAGATATCTCGATGACCACTTGACCAAATTCAATATATTTTTATTTATTAAATTTGATCAGGTTGAGATAACTTGCTCAAAGTTTCAGAAAAAATCAAACCTCCTATTTGAAATGATTAATTAAAGCTGCGTCAAATTATTTTAAAAATTTGAACGAAAATATCTCGATACCTAAACAAATTCGATGAAATTTTTTTTTTATTGGAATTCTATAGATCATAGAATTTAAATAAAAAAATTTTCATCGAATTTGGACATCGAGATATATTCACCCAAAGTTTTAGAAAAAATTAAAGCGCCTATTTGAATAGAAGCAGAGCCATTTTAAACTTTGAACGAAGATATCTCGATAACCACCTGACCAATATTCTATGAATTTTTTCATTTTAATCTTATAAATCCACAGAATTCAAAAAAAAAAGTTTATTAAATTTTATCGGGTGGCTGCTGTGATATATTCTCTCAAATGTTTAGAAGAGATCAAATCGCCTATTAGAATTGAAGCTGTGCCAAATTTTTAAATTTGAACGAAGATATTTCGATAACCACACGATCAAATTCGATGAATTTTTTTTTATTTAAATTCTATGATTCATAGAATTCAAATAAAAAAAGGTTTCATCGAATTTGATCAAGATACCTTCGTTCAAATTTTAAAAAAATTTGGCGCAGCTTCAATTCTAATAGGCATTCTAAACATTTATCTCGACAACCAATTAATCAAATTTAATAAAAAAAAAAAATTATTTGAATACTGTGAATTTAGTGAATTCAGATAAAAAAAACTTCATCTAATTTGGTCAGGTGGATATCGAGATATCTTCGCTCAAAATTTTAGTGTAGCATTTATTTTGACATACTGAAATCCTCAGGCTTTACCTAATTTTAGCTGATCAACGTGATTCACTAATTGGAAGGGCGGGTTTACCCTGTCGTATTATTATTTTTTAAATAATTCTTATTTAATAAAAATTTTTTTTTTCAAAGGAGACAAAATTTATAAAGTAGAACCAACAAAAGGAATCACGGATCCCTCCAAATTTAGCCAGAAGTTTCCAGATAGAACTTTAATCCAAGATGATAAAACGTTTAATGCTGCTGTAGTAACTATTGGCGCTCTTGGTGTGACCTATGAAGTGACTGTTTGGACAATTCCCTTGTATAATATTATAGAAAGAAGGGAAGAAATTACTTGGACACAAGCCAAATCTATCCTAAAGCAGAAACCTTATTCCACAAATCCTTATTTGAAATTCCGTAATACTGAAATTTGGATAAGCCCATATACAGATTACGCTTTGATTACTTTAAGAGATTTGGCGACAAATGAAGATGTGAAAAACTATCCAAAACCCAAGACCAAGGAACTCTTTCAAGAATTTATTTCATTACCTGTAGTGAAAGAGATATCAAGTGTTTTAAGCGTTGATGTGGGTGCGGCTTTATATTTGTTATTGCACCTGTTCCCAGCTATAATACCATTTGTCAATGAAGAAGCTTTGAAAACTCAATATCACAAAGATCCAGTTGTTGATAGTTATGAATTAATTTATAATGCTCTCGGTTATGGTAGGTTAAATGAGTTGGTTTAAAAAAAGACTTTATTAAATACATTACTGATTTTATTTTTTTTTTTAAAAAAAGGGTTTGTTAATGATTTTAAAGTAATTTCAGTAGAATTTTCATTTTCAATGAAGGACGATAACCACATATTAGCAACAGACGCAATTTTGAAAACACTTAAAGAACTACGAGATAAGCATAATTTAAATATTCATGGGCCAGCCTCTATGAGATTTTCTGCTGCTTCGCCACAATATCTTTCTATGGGAAATGGAAGTAGCGATGAGACCAGAGCATATTTGGAAATGATTATTTTGGTTTATGTGTGTATTATTAAAAATTCGAAAAAATTGATAATCATTTTTTCATTCAAATTCTTATTTATTATTATTTTTTTTGTTAAAAAATAGGACGTTTGGATTGATCATTATAAACGTGTATTTGATTCATTGACTGAAACTGCACTGAAATTTAATGCAAGATGCCATTGGGGGCAATATTTTTCTTCCAAACTTGATCATAAATATTTAAACAAAGCATATGGTGCTCAAAATGTTGATTCATTTATTGAACAGATTAAGAAATTTGATCCAAATGGTATAATGAGTAATTCTTTATTAAAAAAGTTAGGATTGACACCTGACGGAAAAGTAACAGACTATGCTGACTATGGAGTTTTAGAAATTATTAGTGAAAAGCTTAAAGAGGGGTTCAATGATTTTACTAAATTTGTGACAAATTTATAAATTAAATATTTGGTTTAAGTGATATTAATATCGATTAAATTTTGATTTCATATATATGTATTCATTATTTCAATATTTATTATAAATTTAATAAAAGATATAAATAAATATAACGAGTATCCATTATCAAAATATTGTATTAAAGGATAATGCTGTAGAGATTAAACCTAAACCTTCTAATGTCTTCGAACATATGAGCAATAAGAGAATAGTAGCTTCAATAAAGCATTATAGACTATTGGCAGTTAGATAAATTATAATACTGTATTTGGAAACAAAGGTGTAAAACTTACATGGTTAACTAAAATTTGAGAGTCTAGACTTAAACTTAGAGAGGATAATAACACATCATCTTCATACTATAGTTAATGCAATCTGTAAAAAAAGCCTGTCTGTGAAATGAGAAATTGCAAAAATATATTGTCTACGAGTTTGTAAGTTAATCGTTTATAAAACAACCTTGTTTGTAAATTAATTGTCATAATTTAATTGTCTATGAGCTAAGCCCTCTATGAAGTGAACCCAGATAAGTTAATGGTAGTTTATCATTTTAGCTTTAATTTTTTATAGGTTGTCAAAGAGATTTCTTCTTATATAATTAATGTTCTTCATAATAATATGCTAAACTATTTTAATATATTATAGATATATATGAACTTAGTACACATGAACTTGAATAGTTTATTTTAAATGGTTCATTTTAAATATTTATCGTATTTTCGCAGGGGCGTGAATTAAGGCTAAATTTCGAAATTAAACCCTGCGCATTATTTCGCGAAAATACGGTACATGAATATGTTTATTTGGTGTTCTTTATGCTCATGAAGTAAAAATAAAATAAAATATTCATGAAATTGCTTATCACAAATAATTAATATTTCTTATAATTAGGTGAATAATTTATTAAATACTTTAGTGCATGGGAATAAAAATCATTTATTAATCTAAGATATTCAGGTTCATGAATATTTACTATGGCAGTAACAACATGGCCATATGATAATGCGTATTGTATGTACAGATCCAACTTACTTAAGAATAAATTTCTTATCAAAGTCTCTATTTTAGTGCTCCGAATCGGATCGGGTCGGGTTCGGGTTAGAAATATCTGACTACAGGAGCGACCGTCGATGTTACACGACTGACTTTTCACCCGGTGTACAACATATAAAAAAACTATTTTACAATAC